CCTCTTTTCGTAGCTTTGTTGTGACGTTTATTAACTAGCTTCACATTTTCTTGGGCACACAGCTTTGATTGTTGATAGTCTCTAGATTATGTGCCTCCATAAAACTCAGCATATTGGGATTGCTTAAAAATGAGCTTAAAGGCAGTAGGTGCTGATTTAAAAAAATTACATGTTAGGATTAAAGTGCTTATTAAAATATGAGGTAAAGGTGGCCGAAGATGTTAAGAATACATGATTTGTGCCGATATTTGCTTAAAACAAGTATACAGAAAGTCAGGATTGTGTGAAGATGAAGTAGGGAGGAGTCATGTTGAAGGACATTGCTTTTTTTTTTTTTTTTTAACAGCAATGATATGGTGGTTGATTAATGAATATTAAGTTAGAGAATTAATTAAGGGGTTTATTTGGAAAAATTGCAATCTTACAGGGGTGGACTTGTTTATTTTTTTAAAAAAAAATAGTGCAGGGACTTGTTTAAGTAAAAGTGTATAGCACATATGCCATTTAGCATTTTTAGCCTTTAGAAAATTTGCAAGTATCAAAAGAGTGAAAATTTATTACTTAGATGAAAAATATCTATAAACTCGTAAAAAAAGTTGAGTGTAGTGTTTATTTTCTCCCTGCTTGAAGGTATTTTTAAACACCTAATGAAGCATCCTCCTTATATCAAATACCAAATGGAAGGGCAAATCTAAAAAAGGGCTTAGATTTATTCGTAAACGGGAAAGCAATTTAGAAAAGCATCTTAGTCAAGTAGAGGTCATATGTTATATATTTTCTCGTAATTTTTTTTTTGTAATTTTTCCATTACAAAGTTTTTATTTCCTTTATTTTTTCGGCAAGAGTATTTCATTCTTATTCAGTAGAAGTCCATTTGAAAATTGGGAGGTACAATTAGTGGATGTGATTTAATTATGTGGGATTTGGAATATTGTATTCATGTGCAGCTGATTGTTTATATTTCTTGTTTCCTATGTTTTCTTTGCCTTCTCTCTCTGGGGCTTTTCAGGGTAGGGATAAGACAGCTGAAGAACGAAGGATTGCAATTTGCATCTTTGATGATGTTGCTGAGCAGTGTCGTGAGGCAGCTCTTAAGTAAGCGTGCTCTGCGAAATCATGTCTTCATATTAATTATCATCATCATGAACACTTATGTAATTCAATTTTATCATGCATATGGAACAGATATTATGAAACATATCTACCCTTTGTATTGGAAGCGTGCAATGACGAGAATCCAGATGTCCGACAGGTTTGCTTCCCTTAAGCTCTACTTTTTTATTTGTATAAGTTGATTTCTAACCAAATTGCTTGATTTGTTCCAGGCAGCTGTGTATGGGCTTGGAGTGTGTGCTGAGTTTGGTGGATCCGTTTTCAAACCTCTTGTTGGAGGTAAATGTTGCATTATGTCCTGAATGAATAAATTTTTGGTATTTTGTATTAATTGCATCCATTTGTGGTTTTCTCCAGAGGCTTTATCAAGATTAAATGTTGTTATAAGGAATCCTAATGCCCAGCAACCTGAAAATGTGATGGCATATGATAATGCTGTTTCTGCCTTAGGAAAAATATGCCAGTTTCATCGTGACAGAATTGATTCAGCTCAGGTATTGAAATATTTCCTTCTTATCTTTCATGCATGTTGATGATTTTGTTAGTCACAGGAGTCCATGTTTAGAATACATGAAATAGATTCTTATATTGGATCTTTTGAATGATGGTGTATTATCACATTCTCTGTACTGCTATGTGCCTCGCCTGTGCCAACAACAATATCTAATTCAAGTTCTAGGACAGGAACATCTACCACCCTAATTTTAAACTATCATAGACATATACATTGTTTTTCTTGTATATTTTATACATATGCATATGTCTTTATTGTGCATCACAGTTTATTTTCTTAAATGCATTAATACTGCGAAG